TGTCTGGGTTCAAGAGAGCAAGTTTGGGGGAAAGTATCTTAGATTAATGTAATTGTATAGATCAGAGGTGTATTAAAATATAAAATAAAAGGGAAAATGAAAGACAGTTTGTTTCAAAAAGGCTTTAAATCCATAACTCAGGTCAGAGCAAAATCCTTTCTGAGAAATGTATAATGCAATTCTTCTTATGTTGACTTCAATCTACAATTTCACTGTATAAGTTTGAAAAGTTTGTACTACCATGTTCTGCACCAGAAACTGGTCAGAAACAATATATTAGAAGGTGCATGTCCCATCTAATGCAGCAGAGAAATTGCTATACTGATGGAAAGTAAAACCCACATGTGCCATGTATCATGGCGCCTCACAAGCAATCCTGACCGTGAAGACCATTCCTAATAATTAAAATACCAGCCTTACAAGCCTACAGAATCATGGAATAGTTTGGGTTAGAAGGGACCTTAAGGATCATCTAGTTCCAAATCCCTGCTATGAGGTGATTTAAAGACCCATCCAACTGGGTCTGGAACACTTCCAGGGATGGGGTAGCCACATTTCTCTGGAAAACCTCTTCCAGTGTCTCATCACCCTCATAATAAAGAATTTCTTCCTATTATGTAATGTAAATCTACCTTCTTTCATTTTAAAGCAATAGAATTGCAGAGGGAATAACTTTTACAAACCTGTCATTGATGCAACTCACATCAGGTAGGTTAACTTTCCAAGCAGTTACAAACTTCTGAGAAGGAACCTTTTTCCAGGTTTGGTCTGTATTTTCTTTATTTGAAAAACTTTGGAATGAAAACCTTAGGAGAAGAATTCACTTTCAATAGATAAATAGGGACACAACAATCTTCCACTTCTCTCCACTGTCCTCTTCCCCTAAGGCAGTGGTTTTAATCTGTAGTCAGCCTAAACCCCTTCTTCCTAGTAATTTACAGCATCTGCTCTTCGAGGGAGTCAGAGAATACTCTAGCCTTTCCCACAAATTGTTGTGTACAATCTGTGACCATTCTCAGTCATGGACATGCAATGAACACTAGCAACCAAAAATATGCATCAGTTTGAGCAAGAAAAAGTGGAATAGTAGTACACCTTTGGAAGTTAGCAGGAGACACGGCCCCTGAAGATCTCAAAGGCCCTTCTCTAACTTGGGCAGTATCACTGCTGGAAGACAAATGGGAGTCAGCTTCACCTGACATCTCACCTCCTGCTCCATGAGACTGTGTACAGCTAGCGGAAAAGCAGTTTGAAAACACCAAAAGAAAACCACATGAAGCTGAGTTAAAACATGAAGGCAAAAGAGAATAATCTGTACAGTCTCCAGGCTAGGAAATAATCAGCTTTTGCCATAGCAGAAATACTTACATGCAGCAGCAAGAAGGAAGTGCTCTCTGGAGAAAACACATTCCCCAACAAACAGCCTAGATAGGCTTTTCTTCACTAACCATTAAGAGGGAGATCTCTCTTAGCATGCAGAAGGCACTGAGACTCATTTGACATTGAGTTTAACTCAAATTATTTTTTATCTGTGATTACAGAAACTTTTGTTCTACTTCTGTTTCTTCACCATCTGCGATACAAAACCTGGCAAAGACTCCAATTAATTTCCTTTGTGTTATTACTGCCACAAGCTCTCAAATGATAAGCATTTATACAAAAGGAAATTCCTCTTCCTTTCTACTCTATCTCTGAGAAAACTAGTACTGAATTTACCCTCAAATCTTGTAATGCCAGGTTACACCAACTGCGTTACAGAAAAAAGCAACAGCAGATTAAGTCAATGCAACACCTTTTCTGACAAAATTTTAAGTCAATGCAACACCTTTTCTGCTCCAGTAAGGAGTACCTTAGCCTGAGAGGAAACAGAGGGGAAGCACCTTATAGCAAAAAAAGGTGAAATCCTGTAATTGCTTAAAGGAGCATCAGTGATGGATTTAGGAAGTTCTCTTCTCCAGGATATACAAACCATCATTATGCTCCTAGATGTGTAACTCTCAAGAGCTTCGAAGGTGGTTGTGCTTCACCTCAGTCAAGCAGAACTAAGGCATCACCCAGCAAAACAAACACACGGAACTCTGAAGTGCAAGTTAGTGGTGTTTATTTACTTACTTAAGCTCTTCATTTATATATACACACTTGCCTACTGTGGTAATCTTGATTAAACCCATGCAGGGCTGTGGTTAAGATGTCGAATTTGATCATTCTGGTAAAGTTTATCTTGGTACCTTAAACACAACAAACCCCTTATACAGGGTTTGCACAGCCTTATACAGGCTGCTATAAGCATACCAACATTAGGGCAACATATTAACTTATGTAAGAGCACATGCATGCCTGAAGTACCTACATTTCTTCTAGCATAGGCAAGCTCCACATTGCCTGTTCTTCTGCCCAAATGGCTACAATCCATGACCAGGAATATAGCCTTGACTTTGGCATTTATTTATGGAGTAATTTGCCAACGCTCCCTATGTCAACATGCTCCCGAATGTTTACAGTGGATTCCAGAGGGAAGGTAGAGGGTAGTCCACCTGCTGCAGGGTTTCTAAGATTCAAATAGAAGAAAGGGAAAGAAGTAATCTGACAAATGGAGGACACATGGGGATAGATAAACTGATAAGGGTCTGATAAGCAAGGGGAGATCACAGACTTGCACCAAATTTGCGAAGCATGAACTAAGCTCTAACCCCATTTTTTAATCCACTGCACCCTTAGAACAGCTTTTCTTCTCACAGATCAGAAATGGTTGTGGAACATCAGCAGGCTGCTGCTAAGCACCTCTATAGACCTCTTTACGCTAAAAGAGAATTAATTGCACATTTAACTGGAGCAGGATAGTACCTCAACACAGCACCTTTTGTTGAGGGCTGTACCACACAGAAGTTGATGGATTTTATCATTTGTTATTTGCTTGCTCTCTAGTGCTTTGTACAGTTCTTTGAGAAACAGCATAGGCTTTCAAGTAGTTAATTAATCAAATAGTGGTTTGGTTTTTGGGACAAGACAGTACACTTTCTTGTGAGGTCTTCTGTGTAACATCATTCTCCTGCGACACAAGCATCCAAACTCTAAACAGTGCACTTGAAAAACTCGACAGCCATAAGGGGTATAAGAATAATTCAGAATGGGTTTTTTGATCTTTTTTTCCCTACCACTCACATCTGGCTGAAAACTTTACAAGAAACAGCTTTGCCTGTTTCCATTTTCAAAAATTCTGCCTTTTACAATTGTACTAGAATTTAAACTAATGACAGGCACAATTTTATAATATGGCTGAGGCAGTATAATATCTTCTAGCCTTAAAAAGACATCCCATCCCATTTGCCTTCCTGCTCCCCTTTTGTTTTCTGTGCTGATGTTCTTTAGGAAGCTAGACTAACAGCAAACTAAACCTGTCAAAACAATAAATAGTTTTTATGTGTTTAATTCCCAGAATAAACTCACAGAGGGTCAGAGGAGCAACATGAATGATGATGAGGAGGAGGAGTAACCTGTCAAGCAGCAACTGTCCACTTCATAAACTGAACTGAAGCATGAAGCATCATCACAAACTATTCTGTCAAGCAGTTTGTGTTATTGGATGACCCCACTCAAATATTGGGATGGATGGGATTGATGTCTCCTTAAGGGAGACACCCCTTATTGGGATGGATGGGATGGATGCCTCCTTAAGGGATTGGGCTAAGTCAAATCGCATATAATAATGGCTCCAAATCAGACACCATGGAAATACCCTATCTCTGTTTACAGATGTCTTCTGCGATCAAAACATAAATTTTCACTGTTTTTCAATTCATTCTATACATGGTCCCAAAGTTAGGGGTATTGGTCTAAAAATTGCCAGACTGCCCTCCTAACTTTTTTTAGAACCTAGTAGTGCAATTTATTTTTTGCATTTGCTTGTCTACATTTTCCAAAATAACTTACAATTATTAGGAAAACGAAGAGTTTACTATTCAGAATTACATCTATAATTTCCTACACATCTCATTTTATGAATTAAAAATAAACAAAAAAACAGTGAATATTGATCCCTCCCCTTCTTCACTCCTCCACCAACAGCCTTTATACACATTTATTCATCAGTCGCAGAAGAGACACTGAAGAGCATCGAGTATTGGCTTCACATGACCAACCATTTCACTTCATCAGGTGAAAAATACCTGGGAAAATGTCAGCATATAAAGTAACAGGTATTCAGAAAGCATAGTTACAGAGAGTGCTTCTTTTGCCCTCAAAAAAACCTGCACGATCTTGAAATGTCCCAGAACACGTGTGTACCTTCTTTGAGTTTATAGATTATACACTGAAATAAACTAAAGGCAACAGCATGAGAAAAACTAACAGGAGTCACTAGAATGTCCATGACCCAAGCTACTCAGCACAAAGAGAAGGGCAGCGATGTCGCAACCCCGCGGCAGCGGCGGCCGCAGGTACGGCAGGCGCACCTCGGGCTCCGCGGGACAGCTGCGCGGGCCGCTCTGGGTCTCTGCTGCTACACGGGGCGTAGGGCTCGCATTCAGGTTCCCCGCAAACCCCAGCGTCGCGTCCGCTCAACAAGCCGAACTGCCCGGGGATGCGCTACGTCCGCAGCTCCTTTCGGAGCACGGGATCCCACGCACACCCGGGAGGAGACCAGAATCCCACCCCCGTGGGAGGCCAGAATGCCACGTGCCCGCGCCGCCCCCGCCCGAGGCCAGGCGAGGAGCCGCCGCCGCCCGCCGCGCCTCCCCGCCCCTCCCTCGGCCCCGGCGGCGCGGCTGCTGCCCGCGGCCCCGGCGCCGGCCCGGCCGCAGCGGGAGCCGCCGCCCCCGGGGCCGCCATCCCGCGGGGGCCGCCGCCCCCGGCCCGGCGGGCGCTGATAGGGCGGCCCGAGCGGAGGGGCGGGCGGAGAGCAGCGCGGCCCAATGCGCGGCTCGGCGGCGCCGCGCCCGCCGGCAGCCCCGCTCCCCGGCCCGGCCGTGCAGGAATGCGGCGGCCGCCCCCCGCCCCGGTACCTTCTCCTCCTGCAGAGCACGCACACGGCCCAGAGCAGCAGCGCGGCGGCGGCGGCCGCCCCGCCGTAGGTGCCGAGCGGCAGCGTGTCGGGGCCCATGCTGGCGGCGCTCGCCTCGCCGGCTGCTGGTGCCTCGCCGCCGCCGCCGGGGAGGAAAGTTTCGCCCGTCCTCCCGCTCCCGGCAGGAGAGGCGCCCGGCCGGCCGTCCCTCCCCGCCCACCCCGAACCCAGGGGGCTGGGTTTGGCCGCTCGGAGCCGGACTTGGCGAGTGGGCCCGGTGCGACCCGGCCGGCTCCTCCCCGGGGAGCGCCCAGAGCGGGGAGGGTCGCGCCCGCCCGCCCCCGCGGCTTCCCGGCGGCGGAGGAGGGGGAGCCCCAGCCTTCGGCTTGCCGGGAAAAGGCTCTGATGCGGCGGGAAGGTGCCGGGACGGAGACCCGGGAATGATGGGGGCATCTCAGTGCTCCCCGCCCTCCAATCCCTTTCAGCCGTCACGGCACCCTGGGAGGGTCCCGGTGCCCCGCAAACCTGGCCTCGGGTGGCGGAGTGGCCGTGGCGTGTTCCCAGTGCGAACAGTGTCAGACTCGGACAGGTGGCAGCTGTGGCAGCCCTTTGGCATCCGCTTGGTTTTGATACGGACCCCTTAAAAAGCAAGGCAACATCCCACAGCTTCATAAAACTTAATCTGAGGTACGATAACAAATAGCGAGGGTTGGTTCTTAATACTTTATGTGAAGAAACTGGATCCACTCCTCGCAGTGTGCCAGCCTCTCTGGTGTGTTACAGAGTACAAGAGAGGAAGGAGGAGGTGAGAGACAAAAAACAACGAGGAGATCCCCAGAGAGAGGAATTGGGATGAGGTGGGGAGGTAAAGAGTTCAATACTTCGTGGCAGGGCAGGGACTAACAAAACACCAGGGCAGCAGCAGTACCTTACCGCTCCACTGCCATTTGGTACAAGGTACACTCAAATGTTGATGTGATATAAGACACTGTTCAATGAGAATTCACACTGAGAAATGGCGTAACATCCTTCAGGTTTTGGAGTTGTGGTTCAGTTGAATGCTGACAGACAAGTTCATGCTCATTTTCAGCCGCATGCAGTATCATATGTTGTATGTTTCATAATGCTTGATGGTTTATATATTCCTTTCATCTTGGAAACAAATTGTAGAACACCAGTCTTCTGACTTGTCCTGTTGCAAGTTTTTTTCAGAATCGTAGAGTCCCAAATGTATCTTAGCAGATAAAAAAGTCAGTTAACTAAACACCTTCTTTAGCAGATTTCATTAATTTTTAAAACCTGGGGCATATCTGAGGGTTTGAAGTCATCAGACCTGTGTGTCTTCTTCCTCAGACATTCCTTTTAGTTGCAGTGAGATATTTTGAAATGCTATTTTGTTAATCAGTAAAAATCAAAGTAGTGAGTCTCACACTAAAATTGACCCAAATCTGAACAACATTGCTTAAAACTATCAGCTGTCTAGCCTTCCTGAGACTAAAAAATCAGACACCCTTATTGTGCAATATGATGCATGGAGGGAAACCATCAGAGAAACTAATGCTTCACTTGTAGTTCTTCAGAACTTCTTGCAAGTAACTGTATTTGAAATCCCCAGCTTGGGAATCCCAAGGGGTTTCTTAGCTACTAGTCTTGTAAATTCATGGAAAAGGACTAATTCAAAAATGAAAAGCATTACACTGTAAGACATTACATAGTAAAGTATTACTCATTTTACAAGTGACCTCTTCTGTGAAAATTTAGTGTTTCAGTTCAGTTTGGTGAGAAATAACTGTCTACAAACAATTAAATAGCTGTGGCAGCTAAAGTAAGCCCTCACCCATAATCAAAACATCAAAACACAAAGATTACTGTAGTTCTGCCAAAGGGTGTGAAGAGGGTTACAACAATCTTTTTTAGTTTGCACTTTTTATGTTTGTTGACAGTTACTGTTTCAGGTCAATTGCAGATTAAAAAAAACCCCACCCTCACACCAAAAACCATTTCGAACCACACCACAAAAATTTTAAAATACAGGGAACAAACCCTGAAACATCCTGAGTCCCTAAGAATGCTGAGTACTGTTCTATGTCAACCATTTTAAAAGTCCAAGAGGATAAATGAAATTCTTAACTAGTGAAGGAATCTCAAAGAGCTGGAAGCTAAAACATCTTTAAGTTTGATGTCTTATATATAGTATGAATTACGTCAATGCAAATCCAACTGGATGATATTTACACATAACGTACCAGTTAAAATTATAATAGATGTATTCATAGATATTGGCATCTCAACTAACTGGAGAAAGAGGGTGAGGCTGAACAGTTCCCTTTAATATAGCTCTAGCAGGAAAGAGGAACTTAGTTTTCAGAAGGTGCAAGCCTAAGCTTATAGCTATGTGGTCTCTTGTTAGGAAAGTAGTTTATTAAGAATTGGAGGGATTTTCAGTTTCATACTGTCATGACCTCCTTGTAGAGCTCTTGCTGCAGCATGGTCGTGAGGAGAAACAATGCAAATACTGTTATATTTGGAAATGGATAATGTTACTCCCCAGCTGGATACAACTGTGTCCAGTTGTTATCCTTACTAGTGGGGTGTAATTTCTGTTGTTCCATCACGGTAGTAGTGGCTCCTTTACAAATTTCTCCAAGTGTCCTTTGTATGTATTAGAAAACTTCCAGAAACAGCTGCAAACTGGGGAGAGGTGACAGCATTTGCAAGTACTTTATGAGTTGAGGGTGGATCACGGGTGGATGGAGAATTCATACAGTAAGCTTGGAGGGCTTTTCAGTTGGAAAGATTTCAGAGAGGTTCCTAGTACTATGGTATTAAGCCTATAAACATAGATATATTAGATAGATTAGATAGATAGATAGATAGATAGATAGATAGATAGATAGATAGATGATAGATGTTCAGCTACATTTCTCCTGTTTAAATTGTGAACATTCTGTACATATGCTACAGTTCAAAATGCATACTGTGTGTATGTTTCATACTGCCAATGTTGTAAGATGATATAGATCATATTTTTTTGTCTTATGAAAATGCAGAAGACTCAAAATAAACTTTGAACAGTATATACTGCAATCTGTACAGTATTTTACACATCACAGTGTGATTTTGCTATATGCAGCACATGGACAAATGCCTGTTCTGCTGGGTAGCTTTCATGTGCACAAGGATTTAAACTCTCAGTCTTAGACAAGAGCAGATTCTCTACCACTGAAGCACCAGTGATATATGCGTTATAAGCAACAGTGGGAACAAGGCTTACTTTTCCACTCACCCAGCACTACTTATTCAAAGGTTATTTTCAACAGCTTATAGCTTTGATCTGCTATAACCATTGCAGTTGCAATACTGCAAGGCCATTCTTGCCTTCAGTTCAAGTGTGTGTGAATTATTTCAACCAAAAAAAAAAAAAAATAGATGTATTTTTGCTAACAATGTTAAAGAAAATACCCATGGTAACATTTTTAGTGATTTTGAGAAAATGGCAGTGGCATTAGACTTTGAAATGGGGTCAACAAATTAACCTCTGTGTCAAAGATAATCTGTCCAAATTTATTTAGGTTATAAGCTGCATAAGAAAAGAGGTTTTATACATTATAATGACCTGCTGGACCTTTGGGGCTTCATTCTCTGAAGATGCCCCTGGAACTGGGTCTGCTTCCAGCTCTTAGCTCAGCAGCTGTTTTCTCTGGAAGTGAAGCTCTGAGCTAATAGAGATCAGGCTGAATTCAGGGCAATGAAACTAAAAGCCTTTTTGTTCCCTGCTCTCTGTCTCCCTTCCTGCTAGAATACAGGCAAAGGGAAATGCAGTGATTTAAGTGAAGGACGAAAAGGCTTACAGACCTCTTAAATCTTGCTTAATTCAAGACTAATAATTCGATTCTCACTTTCTGTTCTCTCCTTCAAGTACACACCAATCTGCATTTAATGCTTTTGTAAGACAGCACTGCAGGCTCTCTCCCATGGCCTCCTGTGTCAATCACAGCTGATCAGCCTGAGCTCTGAACAAGGTCCCACGCTGAGACGGCTGAGAAGTCCCATTCATCCATCCCTGCATGTCAAATATCTTGGTCCCATTTCCCACTATCATGTGGAATGCCATGCCAAACACACACTTGCTACATACAGCAACATATGGACTCATCAGAAAAAAAAAAAGAAGCTGAGAGGTCTACAGGGATAAGAACAGGAACTGAATAGACAAAGAGATCATGAATGGGAGCCAGGAAGGGGAAGAAAGGAGGATTAGGAACATATGAGGGGAAACTGAGGATGAATGGGCAAAATAAAATCTGAGACCCAAAAAAAAGGAGATGACAGTAAGAATAGAGAAGGTTTTGAGGAGGTATGTGACAGACTGGCAGCTGTCGTTGTGTAGAGATTAAGATGTGGAATTGTGATATGACTCAAACGCGAATTCCAAGAACAGAGGTGGAATGGGAAATGCGTGGGAATGGCAGTGTGGGAGGGGAGAATCCAAGAGGACTTAGGTAAAAAACCTCTGAAATGGTTCCTACAGTTGCAGGCTGAGTCTTACTGGGAAAGAAGAAAGGGATTTGGGTCAAAAATTGACTCTTGCCCATAAAAGTGATGGGCAAGATGATCAAGATAAGGAGGGCCCAACAGAAAATGCCATGTCTTCCTGGCTGCAATTTTACTTTGTACAATTGCAGAGCTTCAAAAGACATGGTCCTGTTTGTCCATACTGCCATCTGTGCCACAAAGTCAAACAAGCCCATGTTTTCCTTTCTGTTATAGCTAACACAGTGAGATCTGGTTATTTTCTAATCTGGCATTAAACTCATTCACTGAAGGAGAAGAAGGAATAGCTAGCATGCCACCAGATAATCCGTTGATTCCACCCATTCTGAAGCTGAGTCTTTACCATTGCAAGAACATAGACTGGCAATCCAAGATGTGGACTATGGAAAAGTGAGGCATCCTATTCTGGGAGCTAAATAAAAAGGGACCTGTATTACAAATGCCACGTGGAAGAATTTTCACATTTTCCCTCTGGATTTTTAATGAGAAGACTTTAATATATAAGTGCATCTACAAGGAAGTAATGTTGAAAGAGCTTTACAGATAAACTTAGACTATGTAGTCAAAGAGACTGGAGAACCCTTGCTTCTTCATTGTTGTAGATGGAAACCTGGTGAGGCAAGGGGATGAC